CTGTACTGCTTGTCCTTTGACTTTGTTTACATGATCAGTACATTTAGGTAAACAAGATTGTTACATTCCCATCCTTTTTTACAATTTGTTCTTGCTACAGTGACGTATGTTCCTAGAGGCTTGCTTCTGGCTCATCAGTAGTAGGGAAAAGGGGTGGGGGGAATGACAAAGGGAGGAAAATGCAGGCGTCACCACCCCGATACTTCACACATACAGAGTTCTTCCACAATTGACTCCTACAAGTGGTAACAAGTTAATTTAGTCCCTACCATTTTGTATGTATGGATTGGATTATGTACATGCGTTATTTTGCATTTATCAGCAGTGAATTTCATTTGTATTTATTTACGTGGTCACCCAGTTTTGTAAGATCCCTTTGTAACTCTTCATTGTCAACTCTGGACTTAAAGATCTTGAGTAATTTTGTATTGTCTGAAAATTTTCCCACCTTCCTGTTCACCCCTCTATTCCAGGGCGTTTATGAATTCACAGCCATGAAAAATGCCTCATGGATTTCATGGGGTCACTCACAGCCCCAGCACCTCCTGCTGGGTGTTTTGGGAATTAGCTCAGTCCTAGTGGATGTGACTTCATGTGGCTTTCCTGTCCTCATCTCTGCCTGTAGATTCATTATGGCTCCCTTCTCTCAGTGTCTGCTTCATGAGACAGGCCTCCAATTATGTTATCATTCAGTTTCTTCCTCTTTCAGGGGATTCCTCCAACAAGAGTCCAGCCACTCAATGCAGTGGATTAGCAGTCCACAGCTGGACCACTCCTTCAGTGACTAAGGTGTGGAGGAGGGTCAGGCCTAACCACTACTTCATGTCCCAGCCCAGGAATCCTATAAGCAGTAATTTTCTGCTGCTTCTTCCTTTCAGCTTATTATCTCTATTCCCTAGGCCACTTCCCTACAGCCCCAGTTCCTTCTGCTCTTGCCCGTGGCTTCAGTTCCTTTGACTTCTTCCCAGGACCTTGAGTCTGTAAGTTTTGGTAGCCCATCAGAAACTCCCCCCTACTTCCTTCAGTCCCTATATCTTCATATTTGGGTTCTTTTCGAGCACCAGGCCCAGATGATATTCACCCAAGTGACATAAGAATATTTAATTTACCACATCTATTGGAACGTCAGTCCAGCACTCTTTCTCAAAGTTGTCACCTAAAAAGAATGGCTAAGGTGTGGGAAGTCTCCTTCATATTCTCTGCACTATAGATCAATGTAAAGAATTCATTTTAGGTTCTCTGCTGCTGAGTTTTCTCCCTTGAGTGCTCCTTTAGAGCCTCATTTGTATAGTGGGTAGAGGTTGGGAAAAATTGTGGAAACCTTGAAAACCCTCCTAGCTCTGGTCTACACAAGGGAATTATTTTGAAATAACCCTGATTAGGTCAAATTTATAAGCAGAGGGCCACAATACCAAGCCCTTTATTTCAGGGACGGAGCTTGGTCCTGCCTTGAGGGCAGAGGGCTGGACTCGATAACCTCTCGAGGTCCCTTCCAGTCCTATGATTCTATGAAAATACAGGCTGGTTATTTTGAAATCTGTACTCTTGCTTTTTCAGGGGATAACATTGATTTCAAAATAGTTATTTCAACATAGTGGTAGTGTGGATGCTCTAGTGCCGCTATTTCAAAATAACTACTCCCCAGAGTAATTTGAACTAATCACTCCACAGTGCTTCCTGGGGTTCTAAGTCGATGTAGCATGTCTACATTAACGGAGCCTGGCTTGGACTAATTTCAAGGCTTCCACATACTAAGGACACACTATTTCAATTTTGTTATTTTGGAAGTTTTTAAATAAATTTCAGTTACAGGCAGTCCCCGGGTTACGTACAAGATAGGGACTGTAGGTTTGTTCTTAAGTTGAATCTGTATGTAAGTCGGAACTGGCGTCCAGATTCAGACACTGCTGAAACTGACCACCAGTTCTGACTTACATACAGAATCAACTTAAGAACCCCAGGCGTCCCCAAGTCAGCTGCTGCTGAAACTGATCAGCAGCTGATTCCAGGAAGCCGGGGGCAGAGCAACTCTGCCTGGGGCTTCCTGTAGTCAGCGCTGGTCAGTTTCAGCAGAAGCTGACTTGGGGACGCCTGGGGCAGAGCAGCTGGGGTGCTGCTGGGTTGCTCCAGTAGCGCCGCTCCTCGGTGCTACTGGACCAACCCAGCAGCACC